CGCCGCCCCCGTGGCTTCTGCGGCACCGCCCCCGCGAGTTGGGGGACTGAGGCGGGGCTACGCATGTCCTAGGCCTGCGGCCGCGGGGGCGTTCTTTCCACCCTCCGAGTGAAGTGGCACCTTTCGGGGTGGAACGTGATGCAGCGTGCGTGGTAGTGAGCTGCCTGTTTGGAGAGGTGAGCTAGTGGCCCAGTCCACACCGGACACCTTTCCTGACGTTTCATTGAGCTCAAATGCCAGACTCCTGCTGGCTCTACGGGTGCAGTGTGAGTAAAGACCCCACCCCACCCCCATCCGCCCCAACAAAACAAAACTGGCCTGCCCATTCCAATGCTGGGTGTCCACTATGTCCTGTGGACGACTGGGAACCCTCTGAGCCTCTCCTCTCCTGTTTAAACGGGGGCGTGGCAGTTCCCATCACACTGGCTCTCTGTCTCACTGCCATTAAGTCAACACTGACTCACGGCCACCCTGCAGGACAGGGATGAAACTGCCCTTGGGACTGTCCAAGACTAACTGAGTAGAAAGCAACTGGTGGTATCAAACTGCCGACCTTGCAGTTCGTAGCCCTATGCCACCAGTGAATTCTGACCCTATAGGACAGGGCAGCACTGCCCCTGTGGGCTTCAGAGACTGTGGTCTCTCTGGAAGGAGCTGGTGGGTCCGAACCACCGACCTCTGTTAGTAGCCCAAGGGCTTCCCCCGGTGCCACCAGAACTGCTCACACAGAAAGGGCGACAGTGCTCAGTTCCTCCCAACACTGAGCCCTTGGGATGATGCACCAGGCACTGAGCCCCCACCTGGGAGGAACAGGCCCTGCCCAGGGAGCGCTGCTTCCAGGACACAGCCTCTAAACAAGGACAAAGAAGTTAAGGTCGGAGCCCTGGGCCGCACCCTTTGGGCTGGTAGCTGCTAGGCCAGCGGTTCGAACCCACGAGCTGCTCTGTGGGAGAAAGAGGAAGCTGAGGTCTCCTGAAAAGGCTCGCTGGGAAACCCACAGGATCGCTGTGGCTCGGAATGCCAGTGGGTCTGGTGGGGGGTTGTAGCAGACCAGGAGCCCAGGTGTCGAGATGGTTGAGCGCTTGGCTGCTGACTGCAGAGGTTGTTTGTTTGAACCTACCCAGCTAGTCCAAGGAAGAAAGGCCTGGTGACCAGCTTCGTGTGTGTGTGTGTGTGTGTGTG